GTTGTTTCATTTATCTAGATCTTTGTGATTTTTATTTAGCGTTAATGATAAAAACGTCATAATTGAAACGAAAATATCAAACCATGAAAACATTCATTTCATACACAAGGTCCATTTTAATAGGCTAGTACAGTTTTGGAAAGGGATTGTTGGGAAAGGTAGAGTAGCGAGGAAGATAAAGAAGTGTCTTTGACTAGATTTTTGTAATTCAATTTGTAAATCGCCCAATAACAACTGCAGCACAAAAATCTATCACTTTAAAATACAGATATTTTATCGTGTTATCATTTCGGCAGTTTAAATATTAGCACATGTACAGTCGAGGCAATATACAGATTATATAAATTGTAAAAAAAACCACTAAAATAATTTGATTCTGCATTTCGTTTTAAATTATGTTCTGGACTCTGTATTATACAACAGTCAACAATGTAAAAGCCAACATATATACAGACGACATTGCTCACCAGACAATATTAAAAGAAAAGGAAAGCACAAATCATTAATATATTTTAAAAAAACGTGTTATATATAATATAATCATATTGTATTTAATGGTATATTTCGTAACACATTAAAATGAAAATGAGAAGTTTGTTAATAAAATTACCGTATTGGTCAACTTGAAATTCTTACCAACCGAACGTAAATAAAAACTAAGCTTCTTACCTTTGTACGTCAATAAATATTACGGTGATTCTTTTGAGGAGTAAAAAGTTCTATTTTTCTTTAAGCACTATTAACGTCGAGTACCGCCGTTCATGCCTGTTTTCTGGGCTTGTTTGTGTGAAAATCTTGTATTCTGCTACACTAGCACAACTGAAACGCGCTATAGATATCACTGATTATAGCGACCTGCTGGTGTGGTTCTGACAGGTGTGCTGTATATTGCAAAACGGCATACAATACGAGCAACACAGACACGTACTGTCAACAGTCAAAATCAATAACGTATTTCATCAAGATCATGACACTTTCGTTGACCAGGTAGCTCAGTCAGTTACTGTATATTTTGCGGGTTCATATTCATTATATTCGCGGGGATTAACTTTCGCTGTGCATCCGAATCCCATTTGTCATGCAAAGTATTTTGAGTGAGATCATTTAAGGGTAATACCTCGAAATATAGGTTAACCGTTTGAAAACACTGATCCCGAGCGTCGTCATCCGCAAGTGACTTCACCCGAAATAAAATAAAATGTTTATGTACCTTTTTATGAGTAAACTGTAATTAATTAATTACCTACTGGGTACACATAAATATGTTGTGGCCACTAATATGTAAGTGTTGTTTTTACATGGACTTCCCAGTTGTCCGGTGATAATCTTGAGTTCATTTAAGCTTGTATAACACCGGTGGGTATAAGTATTTTCAACATAAGATCTGTAAAATGGTTGACATTTTCGATAATTTCGCTGGTGTTAAGAATTCGCGGATATTAGTCAAAGCGCGAATAAAGCGAAATTAAAACCCCACGAAATATAGCCGCTATACAGTAACAATCTGAAGTCCATGAATCGAATTCTGGTCTGGCCGTGCGGAATGTTTAGTTTTTAATTTTGTTTTGTTTATTACGTTTTAATCTTTTTTATACAAGTCTCGCAATACAGGTTATCTATACAAAATAATCTTGATGTTTTAATAACACAGTGCGGTGTGTGTAACCGACATCGCTACAAACAGTTAGGAGCCATTAAAACCACATCCGATACCTGACAGGCCGTGGCAAATTCTCGCGTCTGATTTGTTTCACTTTAATGATGACAGGTATATAGTGCTAGTTGACTATTACTCAAAATTCTTTGAGATGATGAGTTTAGAAAATGCACATCCTGATATGGAATCAATCACGTGACCTCTTCTCCATGTTATGCGCAGAGTAACGGCTTAGCAGAACGTACATACCGTCAAAAAACTACTGAAAAAGCCTGTGAAGACAACAAGGATCCTTACTTAGCCATTCTGGAACTACGCAATACTAAAATTGCATGGCTTGATATGTCTCCTGTTGAATTATTAATAAGAAGGAAAACGAGAACAGTCATGCTAACAAGGAAATTACTACTCAAACCGTGTTATGTCACAGAGAAAGTAGAACAACAGTTGCAGGAAAAATAAAAACAAACGAAAAAGCATTTTGACAGGTCATCAATGTATCTTCCTGATCTTAAACCTGGTGATGTTGTTAGAATGTGAAATGATGACTCAAACACTTGGCAACCAGTTCAGGTTGTACAGGAATCTGGAGAACCATGATCCTTTATTGTGCGTAACAACAATAACAAAGTCTACAGGAGGAACCGTCGTCATCTCTTAAAAAACACAAGAAAAACATCAAAAACCGTGCGAAATTGAACGTCCATATACTTCGCATGACTCCGTGCCACCTACGCCTTCATCAGACTGTAATAATGGAAACATTGACACTAATAATGTTAATCAAACATCAGAGGTGAAACAGCTTCGTATTAGTCGAGCCAGTGGACGTGTCATAAACAGACCCAGTAGATATAATGATTAGTCAGGTAAATGTGTGCCAAAGAGGCAGAATAATCCTCTTATCTACCTCTGACCGGGTAGAATGCCTACACTCAGTTAATTTCTAGGTAAAATTGTGTTGTATATATGTTTTTCATTTGTCTTTGAACTGTTAACAATGTTAAAATAGTTAATCAAATTGATAGTAGAATTCAAGTGAAGTGACATTTCATTTCTACAGAAATTTGGAATTAATTTCAATTTACATTTCATTTGGGTATATCTGGTTTAAATTCTGTCTGTTTTATACGAGTGAAGTAATTTAAGACAATCTAATAGATTGATTGTAATTTATTGTATGTTTCAATAAGAGTTGCCTCCCTTTAGTTGATAATAATAATAATAATAATTCGAGGTTATTATATACGGCTTTAGCACAACCTAGTTCGTAGGTCGTCTCCAAGCAGTTAACAAATTATTGAATATGAATACCTCTCATTGATGATGTGTATTGATGTTGCTCATGCGCACAAGTAATAAATGAAGTTACAAGCAGCCATCTTGATATAGTTGTACTTTGCTCACACCTGCCAGTGAGAAAATGGGTAGCCAGTGTTTTATATGGTGACAAGGCCGTTAGGCCTTCCTATGTCTAACATGTCTACATTTCTTCAGATGATATACACTTCCGACTAGAAATTAAAAGCTAATTGTTTTGTTTAGAAATCAAGGGCACATTTTATTAATAGAATAAGTATCAGTAAGAAAAACAAAATATTGAATTAATTCTATTAGTATGGGATTTCCTCAATACCAGGTATGCGCGTAGCTAGCCCCTTTAACATGTGTAAGCCCCGAAATGGGGTTGCCGAAGGCAGCCCCCCCCCCCCCC